CTAAGATCCCACAAGCCACACAGTGTGGCCAAAAAAAAGAAGAAAAAGACACTCTTTTCCATATTCCATATTATTTTTCTATTACAGATTCCCAGAAGTAGATCAAGAAATATGGATAATTTTTTACAAGTGAAGAATTGTCAATTATTTTGTTTTTAATATTTATTTATTTTCACTGTACCGTGTCTTAGTTGCAGCATGCAGGATCTTCCGTGCATCATGTGGGATCTTTAGTTGTGGCATGCGGACTCTTAGTTGCGGCATGCATGTGGGATCTAGTTCCCCGACCAGGGATCGAACTCAGGCCCCCTCCATTGGGAGCTCAGAGTCTTACCCACTGAACCACCAGGGAAGTCTTAAAATATGGATAATTTTGTCAGACCATGCCTTTTCATTTTTATCATGCTGCCTCCCTAAAATGACACCAGTTGCAAGAATAAGCAACTTTCTTTCTACCAGGGGGGGAAATAATTCACCATAAAAATAAAATAAGTCACTGCAAAATAAGCCTTTGTGGCCTAGCAGAGAGCATACGCTTTGGAGTCAGACAAGGGGTAGAATCCCAGCTCAGCCTCTACAGCTGTGCTTCTTTAGGCAAACTCCCAACGTCTCTCTTGCTCAGTGTCAGTTTCCTCACCTTTCAAAAAGGGCTAATACTCTGCAGGGTTATTGTGAGGATTAGAGATAATGCATGTAAACCATAGTGCATGACATGTAGAAGGCATTGAATAAATATTAGAGAATAAGTCAATGTTCCAATTACTTACACTGTTATGAGTGTAAGTAATCCGATAAGTAGGGTAGCATTTCATTTAACAACAGACAACTATGAAGAACTTGAGTGATTTTTAATTATATTCATTTAGGAGAGGTGTCTTTTTTTGTTGTTCTTCTCTATTTTTTTAAATAAATTTATTTATTTTATTTATTTATTTTTGGCTGCATTGGGTTTTCATTGCTGCATGCAGGCTTTCTCTAGTTGTGGCGAGCAGGGGCTACTCTCTGTTGCAGTGCTTGGGCTTCTCATTTTGGTGGTTTCTCTTGTTGCAGAGCACGGGCTCTAGGCACGCAGGCTCAGTAGTTGCGGCTCTCAGGCTCTAGAGCTCAGGCTCAGTAGCTGTGGTCCACAGGCTTAGTTGCTCCATGGCATGTGGGATCTTCCAGGACCAGAGCTCAAACTTGTGTCCCCTGCATTGGCAGGCAGATTCTTAACCACTGCGCCTCCAGGGAAGCCCTCTATTTTTTTTTAATTGAAGTGTAGTTGATTTACAAAGTTGTGCTAATTACTGCTGTACAGCAAAGTGACTCAGTTATACAGGAGAGGTGTCTTTTTAAACATAATACTTAGATTATAAGATCATACATTATCCTACCATTTAAAGCCAAATCTACTATGGTGGATAGACCTGGGATTTTTTAAAAATAATGTTTTCAAAAATTGTAAGCATTTTGCAACAGAACGTCTATATTTTTAAACTGTCTCTAAGTAGTATCACAGTAATCTCTTTATTAAAAAGTCCAAAACAGGGGAAAGGTATAAAAACGAAACCAACTTTACCAGCCTATATTTATTCCTTGTTTACTGATGAGAAAATCCAATTTTAGATTGTGAAACCTAAACAAACCCTCAAGTGAAAGAACAGATTCCTGACTTTATATGTACACAGTTAATTAACTAATTAGATGTTTATTGATACTGCTAGATGTGAAAAAATTAATTTAAGTGTCTGTATTCATAACCAATATTTTATAATAACTATAAATGGAGCATAATCTTTAAAAATGGTGAATTGCCATGTTGTACACTTGAAACTCATATAATATTGTAAATCAACTATACCTCAGTTAAACAAAAGTGTCTGTATTCAAGATGCTCACAGTCTAATGGGAAAGACTGGTATATAAACAATGACAATACAATGTGCTGAATTCATCTCAATTCACCTAGGGGAACCAGGAAAATCTTAGCTGAGAAGGAAGGTAATGTTTGAGCTAAGAGTTGAAAAGTAGGAACCCTCAGGTGAATGAGGGAGTGGGGTGAGGGAGAAGAAGGGAGATACTCCAGCAAGTATAGATACTTGCAAGAGAGTATAGAAAGATCAAGGCAGGAATTCCCTGGCAGTCCAGTGGTTAGGACTCAGCACTCTCACTGCCTGGGCAAGGGTTCAATCCCTGGTGGGAGAACTAAGATCCCGAAAGCCATGCGGCCAGTAGAGGGCGGAGCTTGAATTGAGATGCGCCTGGAAAAAGCAGACCAGGGACAGACTACAGGAGTCCTTTTACACTGCAAAATAGGTTATTTTAACCTTTCGGTTGTCAGTTTTTTACCTTAGCATCTCTGGCAACACTATGAAGGATGAGTTCAAGGATGACCAATTAGGCAGTTATGGCAAGAGATTTGCAAGAGCGATAATGGTATTGAACAGTGGCATGATGGGAAGGGAGTTAGAATCTGATTCCTTAAAAACATTTTTTTATTGAGATAAAATTCACGTAACATAAAATCCACCGTGTTAACAATTTTAAAGTACATAAAACATCATTAATCATTAGAGAAATACAAATCAAAACTACAATGAGATATCATCTCACACTGGTCAGAATGGCCATCATCAAAAAATTTACAAACAATAATTGCTAGAGAGGGTGTGGAGAAAAGGGAACCCTCTTGCACTGTTAGCGGGAATGTAAATTGATACAGCCACCATGGAGAACAGTATGGAGGTTCCTTAAAAAACTAAAAATAGAACTACCATATGACCCAGCAATCCCACTACTGGGCATATACCCTGAGAAAACCATAATTCAAAAAGACTCATGTACCACAATGTTCACTGCAGCACTATTTACAATAGCCAGGACATGGAAGCAACCTAAGTGTCCATCAACAGATGAACAGATAAAGAAGATGTGGCACATATATATAATGGAATATTACTCAGCCATAAAAAGAAACGAAATTGAGTTATCTGTACTGAGGTGGATGGACCTAGAGTCTGTCATACAGAGTGAAGTAAGTCAGAAAGAGAAAAACAAATACTGTATGCTAACACATATATATGGAATCTAAAAAAAACAAAAAGGTCATGAAGAACCTAGGGGCAAGACGGGAACAAAGACACAGACCTCCTAGAGAATGGACTTGAGGACACAGGGAGGGGGAAGGGTAAGCTGGGACAAAGTGAGAGAGTGGCCTGGACATATATACACTACCAAACGTAAAATAGATAGCTAGTGGGAAACAGCCACATAGCACAGGGAGATCGGCTCAGTGCTTTGTGACCACCTAGAGGGGTGGGATAGGGAGGGTGGGAGGAAGGGAGATGCAAGAGGGAAGAGATATGGGGACATATGTATATGTATAACTGATTCACTTTGGTATAAAGCAGAAACTAACACACCATTGTAAAGCAATTATACTCCAATAAAGATGTTTAAAAAATAAAAAATCAAGTACATAATTCATTGCTAATTCCTTTTGAAAGTAATCTATCCCCTGCTAGGCTCTTCTGCTTCTAGTTTAGTGAGATGTTAAATGAATAAATAATTTAACTGGTAGAAATACTAGTTTTTAACATTTTTCACTGTTTTATTAAAAAATGGTGGTTGTAGAAATTTAGACAATACCAACATATAAGGTAAAAAGTTAGTGTTCCCCTAATGAACAATCCCAACTACCCAGAGATATCCACTGTTGTATATCCTTACAAAGGTTTCTATATATATATATACATATATATATATATATATATATATATACACACTTATATATATATATATTAACATAAAAGGCCTCTAGAATATAAAACTATGTATTGCTCTACATCTTGTTTTCCACGTAAAAATGGCTTGGAACCCTCCTAAAAAAGCACATAGATTTCTAGTTCCAGCGTATAAGCCTGCTCATTTCACCATTACTTTGAAAATTGTATATTTTTAATTTTACTTTTTGCCAATCTATTAATTAACTCGTTTTAATATGCTAGCTTATTTTTTTCTTATGGAATAGTACACATATTCAAAAACAGAGAAGGTAGGTTCTCTTAAATTCAGCTCAAGTTGACAAGCATCAGAGATGTTTAAATGGCATTTTAAAAGTGCCTGTACAGGTATCGTGTACTAGAAGGAGGCACAGAATGTACAGGAAATAGCATAAGACTGAATGACCTAGGATTTCAGTCCTCGTTCTGCAACAGTTAACTGTGTAAGTTTAGGACTTGGGTTTCCTCATTTATAAAATTAGAGAGCATAAAGAATTGCTAGTAATCTGTAAAGCTCTAAGAGCATACGGCTCTACACATGTTTCAAAACAACAATGTTAAAATTCCTCAGCTTGGATTGCTTAATGGTGAGTAAAGAATACTGTATCTCCTCCACTTGCCAAAGTCAGTAAATTCCACGAGGAGGAATCTTAGTTTTGTTCACTTATATACACTAAGCTCCTCACAACAGTGCCTGGCGCTCTTGATATTTGGTAAATCATTGAAAATGGTTTAAGAGCTTCACTCTGGTAACTTGCTTTGAATCAATTATTTGGACAATGAAATAAATTTGGCATAGCTCCGCTCTTCTGTTTACTCCTCTCATTCCTGAAGTGAAAATGCTACAAAATATATAGTTCTCACACGTCTAAAAGGGAGTTACATCTACTGACAGAAGAAAGACTCAGATATTCCACCCCTTGGACCTAAAGTCGAACTTCCCGCCACCACCTGATGGGGCCCATACTCAAAGAAGTGTCAAAACTCGTAGCTATGTACATCCGCAGGCCTATAGAAGTCAGCTTGTCACCTACCCCACCCCACTCTCAGACTCTACAGTCCCAGAAGACAAGGTATTACAGTTTCTTCTCTCGCGAACCCCACAATTCCAAAAACGGCGGAATTGGAGCCACCAAAGGTACAGAATCGGCGGGGAAAAGGGATCGGGAAGGACAAAACAGACCCTCTCACGCCCCACTCGTTGGGAGAAGCCCGTGTTGCTGGAAACAGCGTCCTCACCTCCTTCTTTCTCTGGGCAGAGGCTGAGGGAACCCCGGAAACGACCAGCAGTGCCACCGCCACGGTCGCAGAGACACACCAAAGCCACCAACGCGCTGCCATGTTCGCTTCTCTCCTTCCTAGAAGGGAAACTTTCCTGGGGCTGGGTCTGAGGGTTGGGCGTGAGAACAGGCAAACCAGCCCCCTCGCGCCCCCTCATTGGTCCAGCTCAGCCTTGCCCGTAGTCCCCTCACATTACGTCAGGGCGCTGTACAGGCAGACGCCCGCTAAAAGACGTTTCACTTCTAATTGGCCTCTGTTAGCCAATAGAAAAGTGACAATCTGGAGGCTTTACATTGGTCCGCTAAGGATGAGGGACCGCCCCTTTCATTAAACGTAAAGATGGCGGGCTTAGCGGCCCTGCAAATACGCGTGCGCAGTTGTGAAGCATCGCGGCTTTTCAGCGTCCAAGCTGGCTTAGGGTTGTTACAACAGAAACTTTTACCCGGAGACTCTTTAGAACTCTTTGAACACCTCTTTCGTGTAATATTCTAGAAAAATTGGACCTAGCCACGTGATTGATAGGAGCTATCCAAGTCCCTTATTTGGCCACCAAAGTATTTCAAATAAAAAAAAAAAAGAAAGTTGGGGCTTCCCTGGTGGCACAATGGTTAAAAATCCGCCTGCCACTGCAGGGAACACGGGTTCGAGCCCTGGCCGGGGAAGATCCCACATGCCGTGGAGCAACTAAGCCCGTGTGCCACAACTACTGCGGCTGAGCTCTAGAGCCCGCAAGCCACAACTATTGAAGCCTGCGCACGTAGAGCCCGTGCCCTGCAACAAGAGAAGCCAGGACAATGAGAAGCCCGCGCACCGCAGCGAAGAGTAGCCCAGGCTCACCGCAACTATCGAAAGCCCGCACACAGCAAGGAAGACCCAACACAGCCAAAAAATAGGTAAAAGCAGGAAAGCAAAAACAATATTACTGAGGGATATTTTAAAAAGTGAATGAACAAGAGCTTGTTGAATACCTTGTGTGTCCCAGGAACTGTGCCACATGTGCTGAACACAACAGACATCAAAAGTTATATTCTGAAGTGTTTGTTCATGGCAAACCTTTAGGTTTATTAGGTAGGCACCAACAAGGACTTTAATTTCTGTTATAGACAGCAAATTTTTTTTTTTTACTTGCCATTCTTTTGTTTGAGGGATGGATGCAGCACTAAGGTTGTAAGAAAGCACTTCTGTCTTTTTAAAGTTTTTGTGTCATAATCGGTTTTCTTAAATATCTAGTTCCCTTATCTAAAAAAATAATAAAAATCCTACATAGCAGAACTTTCCACTTATTTGGCCCAGTTCTGTTTATCATTGTGGGTTGTAAAACTGGGATAATAGAGAATAATAATATACTCAAGAGGAAAAACACCAACAAAACCAATTGCATGTAAGTTGGATTTATTTTGACGCTGTGGAATATCATATGACCATTCTTTTAGGCCCTGCTGAGAAATGCACGGAGAGGAAAATAATTTCATTAAGTTGGAGAGACAAGAGATGGGTATGGAAGGGAAAATAGCTGCTTCTGAAGAGATGTGATCTAGAGTTATATAAAAAATTAAAACGTTTACAGACACTCATAGTAAGAAAATTTTTTAAAAAGAACACTGAGACATGCCATATGATTCCATTTATATGACATTCTAGAAAGGTAGAGAACAGATCAGTGACTATCAGGGGCTGGAGGTGGGGAGAGGGACTAACTACAAAGGGGCCACACAAGAAGATGTTTTGTGAGGATACAGCCTTTCCCTCCTTAACTATTGGGGTGGTTACACACTGTTTGCATTTGTCAAAACTCAGAAGACTACACTAAAAAAGAGTGAATTTTACTGCATGTAAATTTAACAAATAAAAAATTAAGGTAAGTTTTTTAAGTACACAAAAATCTCACCTATCATTTTGGCAAAAATTCAATACATGATGTCATTGAGCCTGTGGGGAAACAGGCACCCTCATACATTGCTGGTGGGAATGAAAAATGGAGGATAACTTAATATCTAATGCATTTATCCTTTGATTCAGCAATCCCACTTCTAGGAATCTACTCCAATAATAAGAAAATATATGCTCACAAATTTGTTCATTTCAGCACTATTTGTAATTGAAATATTCTCAAAACCACCTAAATGTTCAAATATAGGAGAATGATTGAATATACTATGGTACATAAATAACGTGGAGTATTTCACAGCTGTAAAGAAAAGGAATGAGGAAGAGCTCTGTAAATGATATGCATTTTCAAGATCTATTGTTAAAGTGAAAAAACCAAGTGCAAAAGTATATACATAGTATGCTACATTTGTGTAAAATAGAAGAGGAAATAAGAAAATATATATGTTTGCCCATTTTGCAAAAGGAAACAGAAAGCTTAAATCAGAAACTAATGAAATTGGTTACCTACAGAAGGTGGAGGAAATGGAGTAGAAAAGTTATGAGAGGGAATGACACTTCTCTAAGTACACCAGTTTGTATAGTTTTGACTTTTGAAATAATGTTAATATTTAAAAAATAAAATATAAAAGCAAATCATATGGTTTTGCAAGATGAAAAAAGTTCTGGAGATGTATGGTGGTGATAGTTGTACAACAATGTGAATGTACTTAATACCACTGAACTATACACTTTAAAATGGTTAAAATGGTAAATTTTATGTTATGTATATTTTACCACAATTTAAAAACTAAGTTAAACATTTAAAAATCACATCAGTAAGAATGGGTTAAAAAACTGAAATTGAATACAAACAGAAAAAAGGGAGCACAACTCTATTTCAAATGAAAAACAACCACACTAAAAAAAAATAACTAATCTGAAAAATTTATGAACACAGTACCTTGATTACATACCATTAGTCTAAAGAAAAAAACACAACTACAAGCAAATCTTAAACTCTACTAGGTAGATTTGTTTTTCATAGTGATATGAGCAAAGCAGTTCTGAAAATATTGTGTATAATGTAATATGTAAAAACACTGATGTTGAGAGCCAGGATTCTCACTGTGTAAGAAGGTAGATACAAATATGAAATGAGGGAAAGTAAAAAAGAACTTTTGGGGGTTGGACTGGAATTGGAAGTATTTGTATAAATGTATCATTCATGATATATATTCCTAGCTCTATTCACAGGAAGGAGTAGAAGCAATGACACTCCAATATCAATGAGCAAACCTAGTGCCAAATCTAGGTTGCTAAATGCCATCCCTGAAAGAAATTGGGGCTCCTTAGGAAAATGGTTGATTCCAGTGCTGGGGCAGGGAAAGTACAAGATGAGCCTTGTGTCAGAAAATAAAGATGTGCTCAAAAAAAATGATGGCGATGTCAAAAAAAGACATATAAGCCAGCTTGAAGGGAATCCTACTGACCACATCTGAGACTATTGAGCATTAAAATAAATCATGATAGCAATGGATTATAACCTATGGAATCCATGGATCCACACTGATAGTGAACAAATAAATAGGGGAGAAGATAAAACTCCTCTTTATAGTAGAACACTCAGTATTAAATATGGAAGGAATGATAGAGTTAGAAAACCACCATTTTGCAACTTTCATACTAATAATTCTTTTAGGCAAAAATCATCAATGGATGCAAAAACTAGTGGGTGGAAATTTGATAAAGAACAGGATATATACATAGTCTGAATGTATTCCTCACGTTACTTATTAATGACAAAGGGAAAAACAGTAACTTTATACTATAGGAACTTGGAGGTCACCCTTTTGATCAAATGATTAAAGTTGGCATTATCAATAATGGGACAAGCTAATATTATAGGCTTCCTGATAAGATGCCCTAAGAAGACACATCTGTCATGTAGTATTCCTGTTAGAAGTGCATTAACTGAATCTAATTACGAGAAAACCTCAAGCACAGAAAATTTGAGGGAACTTTTACAAAATAACTGGCCTGTACTCTTCAAATATATTACAGAGCACAGACCTGTGGAGTCAGAAGGTCCGTTACCAGTTGTCACTTACGATTGCCTAATCTTTTTTTTTTTTTTTTGCTGTACGCGGGCCTCTCACTGCTGTGGCCTCTCTCCCATTGCGGAGCACAGGCTCCGGACGCACAGGCTCAGCAGCCATGGCTCACGGACCCAGCTGCTCCGCGGCATGTGGGATCTGACCGGGGCAAGAACCTGTGTCCCCTGCATCGGCAAGCGGACTCTCAACCACTGTGCCACCAGGGAAGCCCCGATTGCCTAATCTTGATTCTGCACCTCACTTCCTTCATATGTAAGCTTGAGAGTATAAAGTTTACCTCAGTAAGAAAAAAATTAGTGCCGTGAAAGACAAAGAAAGGCCGAGGAACTGTTTGATTTTATAGGAGACTAAAGACATAACTTATTTGTAATGAGGTGGATGGACCTAGAGTCTGTCATACAGAGTGAAGTAAGTCTGAAAGAGAAAAACAAATACCTTATGCTAACACATATATATGGAATCTAAAAAAACAAAAAGGTTCTGAAGAACCTAGGGGCAGGATAGGAATAAAGACGCAGACGTAGAGAATGGACTTGAGGACACGGGGAGGAGAAAGGGTAAGCTGGGACGAAGTGAGAGAGTGGCATGGACATATATACACTACCAAATGTAAAACCGATAGCTAGTGGGAAGCAGCCGCATAGCACAGGGAGATCATATCAGCTCGGTGGTTTGTGAGCACCTAGAGGGGTGGGATAGAGAGGGTGGGAGGGAGACGCAAGAGGGAGGAGACATGAAGATGTGTGTACATGTATAGCTGTTTCACTTCGTTATAAAGCAGAAGCTAACACACCATTGTGGAGCAATTATACTCCAATAAAGATGTTTTCAAAAAAGACATAATTAAATTCAATACAGGGAACTGGATTGAATTCTGGATAGAGATATTGGGGTAATTGGTGAAATTGGAATATGAGCTGTACTGTCTCAATATTAAAATTTCTGAATTTAATAACTGTACTGTGGTTATGTAAAAGAATAGCTTACTCTTAGGAAATGAACCCTGAAGTATTAACAGGTAAAAACATGACGTATGCAAGTTATTCTCAAATGGTTCAGAAAAAGAGATGCATTTATATATACATCTTTTATGTACATGTATTTAATCACACACACAAAGAAAACGTGGCAAAATATTACCAAGTGGTGTACCTTGGTAATGGGTGTACAGGAAGTCTCCCTCCTCCAATATTTTCTTATGAAAATATCCAAATATACAGACAAAGTGAAAGAATTGTACTCTGAACGCACACCGCCAAGA